CCTCTCCCACGCACCCTCACAGACACCTGCTGCTCCCGGCGTCAGAAAGGTACATTTAAATCCTTTCCCCACTGAGAGCAGGAAAGAGAAGGGTGTTTGGCACTGAGACGGATGGGCACTGTCGAAACGCCAGGGCCAGGCTGCTTTGGGTTGCTGGGTGTGTGGGAAATTTGTGGGCAGGGGTACTTGAATGTATGTCTTGGGGAACCCTTAAAGATGCCGGAGAGGGGGCCTATACACGGCGGCACAGGGTCAGCTGCAAGGCAGCTACATGGGGAGGAGGCTGTAGGACCCGTTGTTGGTGCCAAAATTGAAGCCCTCTCTGTTCCTTGCAGCGCCTACTGTCCGGTTCATAAAGGAAATGTAAGAGATGACTTGCAAAGTTAGGATGGGAACCCCCGAACAATATCAAACTTGGGGTCTGTTTGCAGCTATATGGGGTTTGCCAGCAGTGTAGAAACAGGTTCAGCCTGCAGATGCAGAAAGTTCAGTGTCTGAGGTCTGTGCATGGGGGGGGCTTTGCATACTCCACAAGCCTGCAAACATCTAGACTTGCTTCCAGTAAGGAAGCTCGGAGAAACTCTTGCTTCTCCCATCAAGGTATCTATATGTGCCTGGGACTGATCCTTACCATCGAGAGGCTGAACATTTTTAACACGAGGGTTCAGTGGGGATTGCAGATTTAGTAGGTATCAAATATGTGCGTTAGTGCCGGGGCCATTTTGGAGGTGGTGCTGTGTTGTTGCCATGGGTTGCTATGAATTTTCTTTTCTGTGGGTATGGACATACCCAGATATTTGCTTGGCGGTGATTGAAATTGAAACTAGAGAATTTACGGGGAAGGCTGGATTCGAACAGTAACTAATGGAATGCTGATGTCAACTTATAAGGGTTTACAACTTGCAATTTATTTTAATTTCACTGCTGAGTGACAGGGATATTAAAGCTTTTACATACCAGTATTTGCTCACCAAATGGATACATACTTCAGAGTTTTATGTAAATATTAGAAATTGGAGTTCACAATCTTTTCTGTTGTAAAAATGCAAATAGAGCCTAGTTTGCACCAAGTTATTAAATTAGGTTTCTTTTAATCGTGATACAGTCCTATTTACACTGTATGATATAACTGTTCCAGAAAGTAAGCCTTTCCTATACTCGCCAGTATGTTTAGATAAATGCAAAACGAGAAACCTCTAAGACCTTTGCCAGGCTGCTTAAAGAGCTACTGAAATACATTTTAGAAATACATTTTCCTTCTGCTGGCATCTGTCATTGGATCTGTAAAACACTTGTGCATCCTCCTTCTGTGAATGAGCACTTTGCCATTTCAGTTAGTTTTGATATGTAAGAAGAATGATCTGCACATGTGAACTGTAAAAGAAATGGGCTCTGTATGCATATATTTAGCTTCTATTCTTCTCACGCAATTAATGCACATAATTGGCTCAGACTGGGATTTGTTTATAGGCATTTGTTTGTGAACAGAGCCACATCCATTTTCTACTTAAATCGTGGGGTTATTCTGACTGACTTCACTGAGCTTTGAATCAGAGTAAGATTAAGGTCAGGTGAAGGCATATTTGAAAAGATGGCCCACAAGGTCTTTCATTTTCAGCTGCTTTGATTTTTTTCATGAATCTATAACAGTTTAAAGAAAAAAAAATATGCCTGGTATTTGCTGAGATAGGATCAATACTAATCCAATCCCACATCTAGGCCTCTGTCTTGGCAGTAAACGGAGCTCAAACTGTCAAATCTTTCCAGAATCATAAACTACCCAAAGGCTTTGAAAACTGATCAAAGCACCTTCAGGTCTCCGATGGTCAAACGTGCTCCCAAACATGGTTTCTGAAGCTTTGCAGGCTGCTTAAAATCTCACTGTTAGGTGTCAAGTTTCTCCTAGCCCGAAGAGCCTTGCTAAGTCCCATTTTATTTTTATTTTAAATTAAAAAAACAAATAAGCTACTGTAGAAGGGACAGGCTGTGTCTTATGTAGCAGTCTGAGCAGAGATGATTCCAGTCTCTGCTGGCGGCGGGATGCTTACAGCAGCAGGGGTGCAGTGATGCACACAGGGGAACGCAACACTGCCACAACTGCCTCCATCTACAGTTACCTTCGCTGCTTGCAGGTCAGCGGGCTGTCTTTCTGCACTGAGAGCTTCCTTCTACACCGCTTGCAGACTGTAACCGGCTAAGAAAGCTCCCATGAGCAGCACGAGTCCCAGCAGCAGCTGGCCTGTGCCTGGATAGCATGAGACCTCAGACTGCCTTGACTCAGGCTCCTCGGTGTCAGACGGCATGTGGAAATAAGCAAGGTGCCACAGGGGCTGAGGGAGAAAACCAGTTACAATCTCTCTCAGAAGGATTGTCATACTTTATCTTACATAGGCCAATGACATGATTGGATTTGTAGTGTTCACAATCTCAAAACCTTACAATTCCTTCTTCCCTTCCAGAAATAAATCAGTTCAGATCACCTGAAACGTACCCGCTGTGGGGCTGATCCTGGGAGATCGATAGGGCTGAGCAAGGAGAGTTCTTTCTTTGACTTTAATGGGAAGGAGATCACATCATCTGGTGAACCTTTTAAAACTGCCTATGCAATTTAAGGCTGAAGTTTTACCTTTAAAAGTGATGCAGACACTTCAGTTCCTAAATTGCACAGTGAACTCAAGTAGGACTTGGACTTTTAACTTAATTAGATGCCTTTGAAAACCTGAAAATCCTCAATCTCCAAGTAACTAGCAACGGACAGAATACGGAAAACTTCAGAAAAGGTGCCCTGGCTGCTAGTAGTTATGGTGATACTTGAGACACATCCAAACGCTGAATGTCTAATTGTTGCCGAGAACTATTTATTAGAGACACTTACGTGTATGCCCTCTCAAACCACATAGACATAAATTTCCTAAAAAGAATTGGATGTTCTCCCACTTAAATGCTCTGCCACAAGTTTGTATATTTTATCTGGACAGAATGGATGAAATTAGTTCAAGAAATAATATCTAAGTCAAAGCAAGAAAGTAAGTGTTCCCTGAAACTGTGAGTGACCTTTTCAGCACAGATCTCTAGGCACAGGCTAGAAATGCCTTCCAGTCTGACCAGTGATAACTATTCTTTGAATCTACTTTTTTTAGCCAGTTGGGCATCTAACTTACGTTGATTTAGTCAGTTGATTTCATCACAATTTTTTTCTAATGATATCATGTAGGACCATATCAGTAACTTCACTCCAGACAAAGTATCTAATTTATCCCCTATTATCCCTGAAAAAATGAAGAAAATTAGATTGGATTGACACAATTTGTTCTTGATAAATAGGTGCTATAGCTGCTTTTGTCACCTTATTGCCCTCTAAATTCTTATAATTCAATCATGTAATAATTTCTTCCGGCATCTTTCCAGGTATCAGAATTAGATATAGATACAGGATTAGATACATGTATATATTAGCACAGGATTAGATATAGATACAGGAACATCTATAATTCCCTGGAAGCTTCCTTTCTATATCTTATTATATCTTTTCCTTATATCAAGATTAGCATTATTATTTACCCTTCTTAAGCACTGCGATATCTTTTGCACAGTTTAAAATCTTGATCTTAAATGCCAGCACAGCCTTTGTAATTGAACCCAGAGATTATAACATTATTATCATCTGGGTACTGATTTCTGCCTTGCTGTGGCTGTCAGCCAAATGTCATAATGCATACAATTAACAGATTTGCTTCTCAGCTTACTGATGACAAAGGAAGCACAAATAATTCATAGGCAGAGGCATGTTTCTTTGATGTGACCAAACTCTGATCCTTTCAGCACCTGAAGGGAGGCAGGCTGAAGACAGGGCAGTCTCATTAAGGCAGAGAAGGAAAAAAAAAAAGCAGAGGAGGAAGAGGAGGATGCAGGAGGTGCCCCCAGCCCGCTGCCCCATGCTGGGTGCTGTGACCTCTTCTGGGCCGGGTCCCACAGCTCCCACCCTCCCACCACAGCGCGGGAAAGAGGAGATTCCTTGGGACTGGGGGAAAAGACAAGAAAAATCTATGTCCCAGACAAAAATACAGACAAAATAATGTCTCTAATTACAAGGTAGCGCTTTTTTTTTCAGAGGTTAAGGGAAATTCCTGGTGAGATACTTCCATCTGGTTTACAGTCCCTGTGCGCTGGGGCAGTTCAAAGAGGCTGCAGTGTAACTGAGAATTGAGGACAGTATTTATTTATAGTTTGATAGCCTCATAAAAGCTGTAGAGCTGAGCTCACAGCAGTGCGCTTATTTATGTTTTGAACTGCTCATGCAGCACCCTACCGCCTTGCAAAATGTATGCTGTAGCTCCTGCATAAAATTATATATGACTCTTCATAAGGTTCATGACACAAAGGCAAAAAAAAGTGAAATTAGACTAACAAAACAGCTGATATAAAAATAAAAGTAGCAGCCAGAACTGGAGGAAAATTAACAGCACGGCTCTGAAATAAAGTAACATCAAATGAAGATTTGCACCTGAATCCATTTTTCACAATAGAAGAAAAAAATATCCAAAAATTCTGAATAAGGCAATAACTCTGATTTCAGCTCCTGGTGACATTACAAAGGATTTGAGCCTTGCACTGGAGGTTTTATAATGACAACCCAGCCTCTGGCACAATCTCAGTATAGTGTCTCACTGCAAATTATATTTGTATCACATTTATTCTTTCTTTTAATATCAACATACCATCTTTTTTCCTCTGTAACCCAGAGGGGAAAGCAAAGCAGCACCATTTCATTATTACCCTTTAATGGTCTTTCCAGTGATATAAAGGAGAATATTAATATCCTTCCAATGACCTCACCTAAACACTGCTAAAAGCCAGGAGGGGAGTGACAAGTTTGTAGCTAATGCACAGGGATGAATTTCTGAAGTTAATGAAAGGATTTCACCCCTGGGTTTTAATCCTGTTTTCTTTTTAACCTTTTAGATTCAGTTTCCTCATCTGTAGGATGGAGAAAGTAGACTTACATACAGGTCGACAGCACAATTTTATTGAGTACAGTTCAGTCAGGAGCTTGGTGTGCTATCAAAGCAAGGAGATGAGGAAGGTGCATTCTTATGAGGAGAGGCAAATACTATCTTCCTGAAAGTGTAAGGTAACCAAGCTCTGCTTATAGCTCTGGCTGGGGAAGGAGTGTTGCTCTGCAGAGCTCAATGGGGAGGGTGAAGAGGAGGTTGGAGGGTTGCAGGTGATCCTGACTGCAAGGTGGAGACTCGTTGCACAATTCAGCCCAAGGATGAGGTGATGATTGGGTACGGACCAGCTCCAGGAGAGGGGAGGCCACCCCATCTACCACTCACAGGCTGTATGTAGCTCTGCTGCTGCTCCTGGGGAGGATGCCCCGAGCCGATCCACCAGCTTTGTGGGCGGCAGAGGAGACCACCCCACACTGGGTGCAGATGGGCAGTGCCCTTCACCATCCGGGTAGTGGCTGTAGGACTTATCCATCAGACAATTTGTGCCTGAAGTAGTACATAAATGGCATGAGCTACATTGTACCTTAAGATTCCTATTGCTAATGTCCTAATGATGAAAGAGAGGAGGAAATGGCTGTGAGCATGTTGCACGTTGTGCCAGATATCCTAATCACTGGTAGATGAACACATAGAATTCATAAATCTGATGAACAGTGTAATCAAAGACAAAGTGTTGCTCTTAAGAAAGCTAAATTAACAGTGAAAGAAAACCTAAAGGTGACCGGCAAAGGAAGGGAAATCATAACTCAGTTCTACACACTGCTTCTTCCTGATCTGTGCAAAAGTCTGGGAAAGATGATGATGATTAATCATCTCACTTGTTCTTCACATTGAAAATGCACATTTTGTCCATTATGGAAAAGCTGGAGGATGTGTGAAGCTCTAACATCACAAAAGAGAAAGGAGAGAAGTTGAAAATTTTGGAGGAAAAACCCTGGTTAGTCAGATTGCTAAACAGGACTGGGGACTTGTTGGTCGTTATTAACGCTTTGATCCTGTTGGAGAGTGAACAACCTGGTTAAAGAGTGAACATCTGCTTTAAGATATGTATGCTTACAATACATGATCTTTGAGATATGGTGTGGTTGGCTTATCAAAATGCAGTGAAGATCAAATATTGCAAGGTGATAAAATAGCACGTGGGGGGGGAGGGGAATAAACTGACTATCTAACTATCATGTAGGATTAAAAAAAAGAACATTTTCTATCTCAAAAATGCTTCCATTGACTGTAAAGACTGCTCCAGAGGCAGTCGATGCAGGATTAAGACCTACGTTTTCTTAAATGCAGTATTTCATTTCAATGTAGCCAGGAAAAAAAAAATCTAGATTTTGGAAATACCATTGCTTTATTTTTTGTACTAAACATACTGCCTTTGATTGATTTTTAACAGTACCATAAGAAGAGCTCAGAGCTTGGCCCACATTCAGACTATGAAGTTAATGTTTTGTCTTCAAAATCCATTTTTAAAATCTGGTAATAACCCAGATTCATTTCTCAGATGTGTTGCTTCTAGTTCCAGATTTGGAATATGGAAAGAATTGATAAAATCAAGAAAATGCTAGTCTTCAAGCATGCCTGGCTTTTAATTTAGCACACAAAGTGAGGACTCTCTGTAATTTGCTAAAACAGAATGATGACTACTTCCAAAAACAACTGAACAGCTAAAAGAGTAGGTCTGAACTTGATGATATAGCTGTAGATTTCCTTTTCACCTGGGAAGTAACTATAATATTTTTTAAAAAAACCATTTATCTAGATCTGTAGAGGAATCTGAACTGTTTGTGAAAATACCTTTAGGTGGATTTCAAAGAATTTCATATACTCATTTTTTTATGTTGATACATATTTCTTTAATGAAACTAAAACTACTCTTTGTGCTTCCAGGATTTGAGAAAACCAGTTCAATCTGTCGTACAAGACCCTGATCCTGCAGATATTTAAGCTGGTGAGAAATGTTACTCATTTGAATTGTCCCATTAAGCAATTCATAGCATGTTTACAATGTGTTTCAAACATGGTTATACCACAGCTTTAGGACTTGTCTGTGAATTGGTGATTCATGACATGAGTCCTTAATGCATTTCCACAACAGAACCGTCTCAGTACCACGTTAGGGACAACAACTGCGTTGAGGACTGGTATCCCTCGAGTGATTGGTAAACATCATTCTCCCATTGACAGCTCTACCTGTCTACAGCACTGTACCTCACATTCTGCAGCTGGCTGATCTGAAAGCCTGAGAGGTTCAGTAAAGGCCCCCCCCCAAAAAACCCTCAGAAATGGGACCATGAAGTTCCTTCTGTTTTCCCCATAAATAAAACTAGAGGGAGTATGTGAATAATTACAATTAAAATTCCCATTTGAGGTTACAGTAAGTGGAACCAAAACTCTGAATCTGCAGCACTTAAGCATCCTGCTGAGAAGTGGGAGGACAGCTCAAAAGCTGGCCCCTATTTACTAATCCTTTATTTATCCCAAAGCAAACCAGTAGTAACTCTGTACAAACCAGTGACCTGCACTTTGGTGTGAAAGAGTAAAGAATCTGGCCAATTAGACCAAGTTGGTTCCTGCCAGTTTCCACCACCATACTTCAGGGGTGGAAGCTGTCTCTGCCCACGTTGTCTTGACTCTCTCAGCTTGAAGCCTGGGGAGAGAGCTACCGGTAAAGTGGGGCGCAATGGGGCAGAGGCAAATCCATTGGTAGAGTAACGAGGTAGCAGCTTCCTAACTGCTTTGCAAGGGTGTAAGCACAGGGCTTCTGAATCAAAACCGTTCTGCAAACTGGTAGCCAAGTCTGGTGGTAAGGCAGAGTATTAAACATCCACACGTATGCTTATGCCTCTGTAAAATGCCAGTGAACCGGGTCGTACTAGTGGCTTTATTTCCCAGCCGCTTTGCAGAGGTGTAGATCACTGTAAAAACTAATGAGAGAAGCTAGTCTAATGTTTTTCCATTTTTTTTTGGTCTTGTAAAACCCTTTTCTGAAGTCTCTACTTAGGCATAACTCCTAGGTTGAGAGGAGCTGTGAGCAATGAAAAGGCACTACTCCGTTCTAGCTGTCTAACCTAAGGGGCTGTTGAAAATACAAGGTACTTTCAGCATCTAAGCAAGGACTAATGTCCTTCAGGTGCATGTGAGAGACAAAACTTGAATAGCCAAGGGACTAAGGGCCTGACCTAGAGTTTATTATAAGTCAGCGGAAATCTTTCCCTCAATTTTAATAGGCTCTGGATCAGGATCAGGGAAAGGAGGGAGAAGGCAGCTGGAAAAGACTGATTTGAAGGGAAGTCTGTAATTTTCTTTAAATAATCACAAAACTTGTGGGGGTGTTATTGAACATTGAAGATCACTTGAAGTATCAATTTTATTTTTTTGTGTCTTGGAGACCTTGAGCCTGAGACCTCACCATAATTTTACATACTTTTTATGCATTACTGATTTATATCACACCCTGTAGAATGACTAGCTTTAGATATTAACAGCAATATTCATTTGCCCAATAATTTGTTCTTATTGGACAATGTTATGCTTCTACCTCTAGAAACATTCCTGATGAAGACCTTGAATTCTGAGGAGATTTAAAAACCAGGAAGTTTGGAGATCAACCATGGATCATAAGGCTGAGGAGAAAAGAAGGCAGCGCCATAGCTTGACTTTACTGGAACAAGTAAAGAGAATGAAAGAATCAACAGAGATAATTGATGTTGTGCTAGTTGCAGAAGGTGAGAAATTCCCCTGCCATAAGGTGGTGCTGGCTGCCTTCAGTCCCTATTTCAAAGCCATGTTTACCTGTGGCTTGGTTGAATGCACGCAAAGAGAAGTGATACTGTATGACATCTCTGCAGAGAGCGTGTCCGTAATACTCAATTACATGTACAGTGCAGATTTGCACCTCACTAATCAGAATGTGCAGACTGTTGCGCTTGCTGCATATTTCATGCAGATGGAAGACATTTTCAGTATGTGTCAGAAGTACATGATGGATCATATGGATGCTTCCAACTGTGTGGGCATCTACTACTTTGCAAGCCACATTGGGGCAGAAGATTTATCTGATCAAGCGAGGAAATACTTATATCAGCATTTCGCTGAGGTGAGCTTACAGGAAGAAATATTAGAGATTGAATTCCAGCAGCTGTTGACTCTTATAAAATCAGATGATCTGAATGTATCCAGGGAGGAAAGCATTCTGGACCTTGTCATTAGATGGGTGAAACACAGCAGAAAGTCACGTGTAGAGCACCTTATTGAGCTCCTGAAGCAAGTGAGACTGGTACTTGTCAGCCCTTCCTTTCTCGTGGAAGCCCGGAAAAGGAATACAATGATCCTGTGCAATTCAGAATGCAATGATATGTTTGAGGAAGCGCTGAAAACCATCAAGCTATCCAGCCACCCTTCTCTCAGCCTGCGGTACGGCATGGAGACTACTGATCTCTTACTCTGCATCGGCAACAATTCTCTCGGCATTAGGTCAAGACATGGTAGCTATGCAGATGCCAGTTTTTGTTACGCTCCTGCGACACAGAAGACGTATTTCATTTCCTCTCCAAAGTATGGAGAGGGTTTGGGATGTGTTTGCACTGGTGTTGTCACTGAGAATAATGATATTATTGTGGCAGGAGAGGCAAGTGCCGTCAAAATGTCTAGACAAAAGGCCAGGAACATCGAAATTTATAGGTGTGTACCCTTGGTCGGAAAATCCCTAATTATTTAAAAATTTTAATTCAAATAATGTTCCTGGGGATGAAAGAAGACCATTAGACAAAGTGTTCTTTACTTGAAGTTTTCCCAGACATTTCATTCTAATGAAATTCTAATCGATTTGTCACGATTGATCTTTATGGCACAATGAATTATATACATGCAACCAAATCCTGATGCCTTTTCTCCTGAAAGAAGGAGGATTTACTGTAGTGGCATTTCTGTGTAGACGAGCTTGATTAGATTCTACATTAACATATGTGGATCTTATGTTCTTACTCAAATCTCAACATTTTCCTAAGATGCTCTTTTCTAGGTCATTAGCGGGGGGGACATGAGTCAAGCAAATGACCCGAGGAGTCCAGTAAGACAGAGATAACACTCTTCTCCGTTGATGTTGATGATAGTACTTCAGAGATTAAAGGATAATGATTGATAGCTTTAAACCCTCATTCGGTTTTTACTCCTGTCTTTTTCAGATTCACCCATTGTAAAGAAAACCAGCCATTTTCTGGATTAAAGACAAAATTAAACAATGGTGACAGCATTTTAAATTTTCAAATTTAAGGAAGTAAATCCGTACTGAGGCAGATGAAGTGGCCTTATTTTCAGCAGTGCGGAGCTCTTACTCTTCCCGCTAACTTCAGTGGAAACTGTGATTGAACAGCACATGCAGAAATAAGGGATTCCTTACCTTAATTAGGGTCAAATATCTTTGAAAGGATGCCTAAAATTAGGATCCCTCATACTAAAAATGCTTGATATTGCAAAAACTGGGCTCAATTTTATAAGTTCTCTGTGAAAGAGAAAGCTCCTCTTGTCATTGTATCGTTGTCTGAATAAACATTGACAATGAAGGGGGTAACGTTTCAAAACAAGCTGATGGGACCTCAGTGAACCAGGGCATTTACAACTTTGGATTTTCCTACAGATACCACCAGCGAGGAAACCAGTTTTGGCACAGCCTGTGCACCACTCAGCTCCGTGAACTCTATGCGTTGGGCACTATCCATAACGATCTCTATGTAATAGGAGGGCAAATGAAAGTGAAAAATCAGTATCTGGTCACAAACTGTGTGGAGAAGTATTCCATGGAGCAAGGCACCTGGAGAAGCACGGCGCCTCTTCCAGTACCGTTAGCCTGCCATGTGGTGGTGACGGTGAAGAATAAGCTCTACGTGCTGGGTGGCTGGACACCACAGGTTAAGAAATGTGGCCGTTATTTTGTTTTGTTTGTTTACTAACAAGCAGAGCTATGCATGGTTTATATGGTGTGTAATTTTATGGTGCTTCTTGCATAGGAAAAGTACATCAGTGATAACAGAAGAATAAATTGCTCACATTCCTCTGATTAAACATCTTTTGTAGGAAAACCAAACAGGGTGAAGAGGAATAATATCCATCTTATGCCATCCTCACTGTAAATACCAACTTTAGGAAGGGCAGTTCTTTCACAGAGACGTGCACAGTGAGCAAGAGTTTAAAGTACATCTCCTGTGTCAACATGGGTCCATTTTAAATAGCTGCTGTGTTAAACACCTTTTTTTTTTTTTTTTCAAAAAAAACCTTGAATTGAAATAACTAGGATGGTATTTAGTACTTATTTGGCACTTTTTTGTCATCACAGGCTGTGAAAAATGGATTAAATTCAGCCTTTCCTTTCCTTACATACTGTCCATTTAATTTTTCTAGGTATCAGTAAATAATGGTATTTAAATCATACAGAGGCCCTTAACTGAGCCCTGTCTTCAAAAAGTGTGCACACAGGTAAACTTCAGGGACAGATTTATATCTGAAATGTAAGGTTCACCTCAATTTCTCAGGAACCTTTCTTGGTTAACCAAAGTTCATTTATTTGATTTTCATTAGATTATATTTTAAATGAAAAGACAAAGCATTCTCTGGAAAACAGATTCCTTCAATCAATCCATTTATTTGTTTCAGTTGCATTGCTTGGCCATGTAAAGTTTTAACAGGCATTTTCAGCAGGGCCACAGATGCTGTATTCAGTAGTACAGGGCATATATGGAACTGTGCTACAAGGAAGATGGATACCAGGAACAGTGCTTGCTCTCCCCAGTTGCTCCCAGCGTGAAAGATCTTTTTTAAGAGCGTAGCCCATTCTTATTTACTGCTCGGTACAGTTTAAATTTGAGCATTCAAGATAAAGCCCCACATTTACTTGTCAATGAAGTAGAGCATCTGTAATCCTTATTGCCGACAGCAGTTATGTTCATACTGTCACCACATCTCATTGGTTTGTGTTCTCCTGAAATAAATTACTGTTTAAAGTATTTAAAAGTGAGATGCATTCAGCAAACAAGATTTCCACCTCTTTGGATATTTTGAGTGTAGGTGTCCCCAGAGGAGACAACAGAAAGATCAGAGAGTATTTCTGATACTGAAACAACTGAGCAAGGACACCTCGCTATTTAAAGAATTAAAATACGAAAACATACTTAATGTAGAAACAATCTGTCTGTAAAAAAACTTGAACTGAAAGATATGTTATATCACAAAGATAGATGTTGAAGTCAGACAACCAGCTTTGTCTTTCTTAATAGTTCTCCAGAACAGATTGTAAGGGGGAAAAGTGGCTCAGAAGCACAAGTCAGGAATATTGAGCCAAGAATGGTTTTAAAAAAAAATGCAGGCACCTTGAAGACACCTGAAGTGGATACCTGCCGACCAGTACTATCAGTAACAATACATGGGAGTTGGAGCATATATACATATATATATATATAGGCTTGAGATGAGCAGATTAACAGGAATTGATTAAAAGCCATAGCTTTGTAAGATTAGGGCGTAGTTGAACAGATCAGAACAAATTAGCTAAAGCTCTCAAAAAAGTGCTTTAAGACCAGCACTGCAGAGTGCTGAATTCTTTTGGTACCATATATCTCCCGCAGTCACCTGTCAGATGTGGTGATTGTATATGTGGGGCTACCACAGCTGCATTGTGATAGCAAATTAGTTCGTCAAGCCAGGAGTTGTCCCTATGCTCAAGCAGCACTGAATGTTCTGTCAATCCTGAACAAATACTAACGACGCAGCATTGATAGAGTGCTGTAAGTGCATGTGTCCATTACAGGACAGAGATAAATACATGTTCCCTTCCCACTCAGGCTTTGCAATTGAAACAAGACAAGACAAAGTCAAGCCAGGACATAAAATGACAGCTTAGGAGGGCAAGGGCTCGACTCACAGCAGCATTGCTCCGGCTCAGCATTGGTCTAGCCTCACTGATGTTAAAGAGTTAAAAACCCAAGCGACTCCAGCCTTGGTAACTGGGGACTCTTAAAATGGAAGAAGGCGTTTGGTGAGGCTGAGAGGAAGGTTTCAGACCCTTGAGACAGAGAGAAGGGCCACTGGATGTTATGTTTTCTGTACATAAAGGGCACAGTGTGTGCTCTGAGGTGAACGTTACCACAAAAATAAGGTAGGATGTGAATTTACGGTATGTAAAATGGTGCCTGCTCCTAAGTATATGCTTACTCTGTGTTGAAAATACACAGCTTACCCCTCTTTCAGCAAATAAGTCAGTGTTTCACACTTATGACGAAGAAAGAACATGCCCCTAGGCACTTACAGGGGGTAACCAAGGGGCTATATATTTACTGTCTAGTTTGCCTCCTACTGTCTTGTCCATTACATCAGTGTTGGAAAGGTCTTTTGGGAAAGAAAAATAACAAGCAAAGCAAGAACACATATAACAACATCACAAGTAAGCAAAGTAGTTCTCTCCTCCTCACTCTCTCTACATGAAACCTTTCATCCCAAAATATTTCAGGATCCTTCCCCCACAGCCTACTGCTTATATTCAAGGCTGTCGTACCCAGAAAACATAATCTGAGTTCCCTGCATCACACTAGACAGGCAGAGAAAAGGGAAGAAGATTAGAGAGAACAAGAGGAGTAGGAGTGAGTATAAAAAGAGTATTATGGCAGCAAAGATATAGCAGGGGGTTAGGAGCTTATTATGAAAACTATTGAAGTTACAGCAGTTGAACAACATCACTCTGGTTAGGCTGACTAAATAAATGTGCAAATGGCTTGAGAATAAGTTATGTGTATATACAGGCCTGAGAAAGGCCAGCTAAGTACCTCACTGAGACTCACTGTACGGTCTGAGTAACAGTGGGAATAGATTAGCAGGAAGGAAAAATGTCAGAGAGACTGGTTTTCCCTCTATTATTATTAGGACTTTACAGCAGCCTTGTGAAAGAGGTACGTTCTCAGAGCTGGGCCCATGAACTTATTGTTATTACCCAAATCCTCAGCTTTATTGCTGCGGAATGTAGATGCCTTCTTATTCATTTGCCTTCTACAGCGTACTCCCAGCCGCAAGTCATGGGTGCTGTTAAACCCTAGTGAGTATGAATCACTTTGCAGCTATAATTGATGTGTTTATGTTATTTATCTGCTCAGCTGTCTGCTGTGATTAATTGCATGCAGGCATGTGCAGAGGGCTCCAAATGTTGTATTATTATATGGCTGTCATATTTCATACAGATGGATCTGCCTGACGATGAGCCGGATCGATTAAGTAACAGAATGTTTCGGTACGACCCAGGCCAAGACAAATGGACAGAAGGTGCGCCAATGAAGTACTCCAAATACCGCTTCAGCACAGCTGTAGTCAACAGCGAGATTTATGTCTTGGGTAAGAGGAAACAGATTTTTAACAGATAGTACCATGACTTTTTCTTCTTTCCAGCAATTTGCCTCTGCGAAGTGAAATATCTCAACCTTTGCTATGTACGCAGAACAAAGTACGTTGGACTAAATGGATAGTATTTTTCTAGAGTTATTTTTTCCCCACATAATTTCTTCCTTCCTTAATTTATGTAGATTAAATAAGTGAATGCTTAGTGTTCTCGATTAACGTAACAAAGATACTTTGCTTTTTAAACTACTTTTCTTTGGAGTATCACTGTGTGCTATAAATAATAATGAATTTTAAAAAGTAGGTAGAGAAGCCTTGTTAGCACCATTTCACAGGTGAGCAGTGAAAAACTAAGGAACATACCCAGCGCCATGAAGGCATAGGGAAAAAGAGAATTTGGATCTCCCAGTCAAAACCAACATTATTTGTGGATTCTGATAAAGTTCAATGAATCATTCTTTTCCACCCACCTCAACGCAGTGCAGTTTTTGGAAAATTGAAATCTTTCATTTTGTCATTTTTTGATTGAATCTTTTCAATTTTTTGTTTCAAAACAGTATTTTGACCCAAAGTTTTAAGACTTGTGTGAAAGAGTTCAATAGTCTTAGTCTCCTACCCCAAAATCTTTTGTCCCAAAATGATCCCCATCCATATCCCCAGTTCTACAGTTCATCCATAACATGACTCTTTTCCCAAAGACCACCCTTCATGGCCCCATCCCAACCTCTGTCCAAGCCAACAGAAAGAACATCACCTGTTGATGATGTTCTAGCAAACGCTAGCAAACACCTCAGGAGCTGGCAAGCAAGGGATTTTTCTGAAGAGAAAATGATGATGTAAGGCAGGGAAAGGCAGATGGAGAAGAAAGGCATTGCGGGCATTGGGAATGATATGGGGGAAAAGTTGAAGGCGCACCCTGAAAGGAGAATAGGAGCCAGAAAGGTGACCAAATGAAGTAGAGAAGGATTACAGATAGGTGTACAACTTGAAGAAGTGGTGAAAAAATTTCATACACTCAATTAATCCACAGGTGGGCTGTGGGTTATTCATGCCCTTCCATGCTCCCGGGGTCCCGTGGGCAGCATCAGACGTGAAAAAGGTAGCAATCTCATCAGTGCCTCAGGACCTTTCAATCCCTTCTGCTTCAAACTACTCCTGCTTACAAGCTTATCGAAGTCAACACAGTAAATACGGTCTTATCAACTTAATGCACCTCCTGTACAAGGGGTGTTCTGGTTTTGTCTGGGTTGTTATATACCATGGATAAAGGAGAGTTTGTTCCTGGCATGTAATACAGAAAGCATTTTGCAGGGGTTATATCTAAGAAAGGTGTCTTTGGAGTAGAAGATGAAAATGGCTTTAACGCTGCATTTGTCTTCTTTTAGAGAAACTTCTTTCTATTAGGTGGCTTGAGACAGGCCCATAGTCACAACCAGGAGAAAGGCTGAAAGAATTCCGTATGGAAAAGAGAGTTTTGCAAACAGAAAATCATTTCATTATTGTCAAAAGTTAGTGATAGAGAACGTCAGTATGCTGTTAAATAACGAGAGCGTTGGCTGCCCAGGTTCAAAAGTGCTTCGAAAATGTGGAAACTCCATCCTTTGTAAAAGGTTAAATATATATAATTATTTATACTGACACTGATGCTGTAATGGGGCAGCAGAAGCAGCCGTAATTGTTGGGAATAGAAAGGCTGTATTCATGCGTTTCAGTAAGAAGCATTCTGAGATCAAGACCACAAATGCTGTGATGACACAAGAGAGTCAGGGAGAAAAAAAAAGGAGCCACCTTGGGATGCATGTGATAAAACAAATTGGCAGTCTTCTTCACAGCAAGCCTGACACTGAGACAAGGAAAAGGAATGGCTAATAAGGAAAACTGCATCCATTTTCTTCCCTCAAAATCTCACAAAGAAAGAAGCATATCTGAGTGATTACAGTAATGAAATGTACAGATTGAACACAAAGCACAGTATTAAATCTGAAAAGTGCCTGTTTAAATGGCATTGAGGAAAGTTCATGGTCGTAGACCTTCACAAGCATTTTGCTAACGTAAAAATATAAAAAGCATCGTTTTATTATGCATAGCTGCCAGTGCTGCAGTACTCAGGGAGCTGAACATGGACTTGAATTCTTTCTTACATGTCAGCCAGTACCAATAATTTTTTTTATGAGAAAATCTTTGTTAGCAATCAGATCGGCGCATGGGCCAGAACAAGCTCTTGCTCTGTCTCCATCACTTTGTTGGTTCACGCACCTTCCCATGAGCAGTCCTTACTCCAGCAGTCCTAAGGGAACCAATACACTTAATCCTGTGATTAACAATTTGCTGCCCCGAACCCTTCACTCTTGCCACTAAGTATAACTAAATACACATAAAGGCAGTGTTTGTTCTCAGTTTTGATTGTGTAAATCTGGGGTGATTTCACTGTAATGAACAAACTTCCTTGTAATTTATACCAAAGGTATAAGCTCACATGCTGCTCCAGGGAGCAGATTTTTTAGAAAGATTGTGCTATTTTTACCATTGTGTTTCTGAGCCTGCCTCCATTCTGATGCTCCATCCACTCAAGGTGTAACTGCAGCAAGTGTAGACATGAATGATTTACCATCAGGTAGCATGAATATCGATTGCAGGGAAGATATTTTGACCTAGGTCTGAGCTGTTTTCACAAACTCCTGATTGCCTATTTTCACAAGCCTTGCAAACACTTTAATGTCCATAAATCTGTAAAATTTGGTTGAAACTGGCCAACAGGCGCAAAAGCTATGAAAGGAGACAAAATAATGTAAACGCAGATACAGAACACACATGTAGTGAGGGTAACTGCATGAGTCTTGTTTCCTTAGGAAATCAAATAATATTAGAACTAATTTTTTAATTGCAAGATAAACCTGACACTGAGCCAAAACTGATTTGTCAACATACCTGTCAATTCTACCTTTGAATATGCTGGTTTAAATCCACCTTTAACTGTATGGGTGGAAATGAAGATTTATCTGTTAAAATTGAGAAGATGTTTACCAATGGTTGGTAAACGTTAACCATCATGGTCTGAAAACTCTGTGGAAGAGATTAAAGCATTTTCCAAGACCTCTCAAAATGATGAAGCAATTTCCAAATGAATTCTGTCTGGAAACATTGATACAGTCACTGATATTGGCATCTTATCCTGCTGATATCACACATGGCCTCATCTCGAGCTGTAAACTCACACTCACCAACTGTAATTAAAACCTCACACATTCCATGGTTTATTTGTGGTGACAAGTTCTTGTTACCTTGTGAGTTCTCAGGCTGTTGGGCTGCGAGGTGGGTACAGTTTTCCTTTGGAAATAATGGCAATGGTAACCCTGGCAGGGTGAACGGGCAATTCATGGCAATGAAAGGAAGACAGAGAAAGCACTCTTAATCTGGCTGATGTCGTACTTGATCGTGCAGATGACATTCAGGAGAGAATGGGCATGGAAGGAACAGAGGTTGATGCTGACAGACCAAAGAATAGCAACTGTCATGAGGATGGTAAAACCATTGCAGGCTGTTCAAAGCTGTGGATCCCTCAAACATCACCTTGCTTCACAGGGAATGTGGGGCACTGTGGGACTCTAGAAAGATGCTGTCAAGGGCAATTTGTGCAAAAAGACACATTCTGAAGAGGATCACAGCTCATAGGTTGTCCTCGTGTAGTGACCTCAGAGACATCTATGCTCAGGCGTAATGACTAAGCTTTTGTGCTACAGATGAGAGAGAGACTTTTGTGGAGTCTCTGCCATTGCCATTTATACCCCTTCTCACTCCAAATGGGCGTTCCCCATGGTGAAGTGTGTGTGCACAGAACTTGAACATCTAACAGGCTCCCATGGAGCCCCAGTCATGGGACACTCAGTGAAGGGGCAATTCAGAAGCATGCTTGGTGTCAATACTTGGATTCCCACAAGCATCACCCGCTCTTCATATCATACTTGTTCCTTATGTGGTGCACGGTCTCCATGGGCTTCCTGCAGTCTGCACCCATCTAAGGAGATCCACTGGGGGCTGCTGGGGGCAGAGGAAGGAGAGGGAGGGAGGCAAGGTGGAAGCAGGTAAATGCAAGATATCTGCTGTATGCCACGAGAACCAAGCCCCGCTTCCCAGAAATAAAAACATGAAATAAAGAAATATATAACTCTAGCTGGATACATAAAGTAGTGTTGCAGAGAGATGAGTCTTTTTTCAAGCAACTCTTGAAAACAAAGTCCTTAAATGAAGTAAGTTTGTCAGCTTTTTCAGACAGGATCTCTGTCTTCCTGTACAGTTCATACAGGTATCAGCACATTCAGGATTAGAATCATAGAATCATAGAATCATTAATGTTGGAAAAGACCTCTAAGAAGTGGGAGTCAGGTGGGACTCTAAAGCATAAATGAAAAATCACTGCACTAAAAGTTGATCCTCTCTAATGTCTCTGATGTGTGAATGCAATTTCTATCATCAATATGAAGCAAAAGGCATAGATGGAGCACTAGCTTTGAGTAAAATGCAGTAGCAGACTCCTTCATACACAAGTCTAATTTTTGCTCTCATCCATGTAGGTGTAAATCTGTAGTAAGTAGTCTGCTGATCTCAGTTGTGTTGTGTCAGACTCATTTTGTTCTCACCCAGATCAGAATCTGATGCTTAGCCTTTGAAGTGTTAATTTCTGGAAAGTCCTATTGGCACAGAACAGAGAGCACATAGTCACTGCCCAAAAACTCTTCCCAGCCTAATTGCCAGCGCCAGCGTGTAAAACCCTAATGACTTAAATGGAATTATTCTAGAGTCACACTGATGGAAGGAAAATGAGAAATAGATCAGAGTTTTTGGTCTGAGTAATAGCATTATTCAGGAACCTGTACCATGTGTCGTAATCAGCAATCCTGCAATGTAATTGTCTGTTTGTTGTGTAATGTTCCTAGAGAATCTTATGCTATTTATACAGTGTACATAATCCTCATAAGTAAATGAACAGCATTTCCTAA